TGTAGGACTATCGGAATGTTGCAATGGAATCGAGAAATATCACTTTATCTTGAGATGACGTAATTTTGAGAACTGTTTCGTCATCTTCGCAATTGCGTAGAAGATGACAAAACTCTGCTAGCACAATACCTTTTAATATCTTGAACCTTCTAGAGCAAGAAAACTATAATAACGTAGCAAATTTCAAGATTGCGTCATTCCATCAGAGATGACGAAATCGCAACGACTATTGCGTCATCCGCGCAAAAGTGATGCAATACGTTAAAAAGAATCTCAAATACAAGAAATAATAATTTAGTATAAAGATTCTGGCAGAGCTTTTTGTCAGGTAGTGCAATAATTTCGAGTGTTGCATCATCTACCCGAAAGAATGATGAAACCACGGTGACTATTGCGTCATCCACGCTAAAAGTGACGCAATACAATAATTTTAAGTATTAGATATAAGAAATTAGCGAGATTTTAGCAAATTTATGATGTAATAATTTTGAATATTGCATCATCTCTTGAAAAGATGACGTAATACTTCAACAAACATTAAAAATTGCATTAGCAACCTATAAGTTAACGTTTCCAATCATTAACATTAAAACCGCATCATCTTTCGTAAAATTGCGTCATCTTTTCAAAAAGTGATGAAATCGTGACAAAAATTGTGTCATCTGCTGAAACTGCGCAGTAGATGTTGAAATTGGTACCAAGAGTGGGGAGAAGCCCCGTCCGATCGTACAATTCTTCCCACTCGAGTGCTGCTCCCACCATCGTCGGCTGATGCAACCATAGAACTTATACACATGGAAGGGGAAACGGATCGGCACAAGTGAAGCCAAGAAGTGAGACAGAAGAAACTAGAATTCTGTCTCGTTCTATGACTTTTCCTCGAAATACGCATGCGCGGCCAAAACGAGATTACAATAACGCATGCGCGGCCAAAACGAGATTACAATAACGCATGCGCAACGATTTAACGCATGCGCATAACGGACCAGTCATCTTCTATGCTATCCTTGTCACACAGATGTTGGACTCAGTTTCAGCTCACGGAGAGTATATGCTATTCCCCTTCCATGTCTATAAGTTCTATGGATGCAACGCTCGCCCCACTCTTGCCGAATCCCCTCCGCGAGCACCCGGCTATATAAGAGGGAGCCCCAGGAGCTCCTCAGTCAGTCTTTCGAGAACTTGCTGAAGTTCTCTTGAAGGCTGCCAATTACTGAAGTTCTCTTGAAAACTGCCACTGGGCAACAACTCGTTAGCCAAGCTCAGTGTATCAGTCCGAATCAGTACGTCTCTTCGGTCGTGATTCTATACATAACCTCAGTGTGTCGTGCGGACCTCGGTGTTCTTTGTGAAGGAAGCCACTTCCCCGCAGACCCCTAATCTATTCCGACGTTGCGTCAGCTGCCGCCGGGTGTCTTCCGAGGATAGTTACTCAGCGTACTAGCAGTACTCAGCGTACATAGTAAGTCTATATTGTAATTAATTCCCCTTTGTAATTTTTACTTGATATTGCGTCATCTTCGTTTTTTGGCGTTATACTTGTAACCAAACGGTTTTCAGTTCATTACGTACTCTTCTAACATTATTACAATTTTCATTTGATATTGCATCATCATTCTCGGTATTACGACATTCTCTTTCTTATTGCATCATACTGCTCGATAGGTCATATTTTTTATTTCATTGTTCTAACTACTAGTACTCGTCATATATTAAAGTTTTATTATACTTATTCATAAGTTTCGTCATACATATTTGTGTTTAGTCATACTTATTCGTTTATTTCCTTACGCAGTAAGTTCTAACGTTCGTATTGCGTCATACTGCCTAACTATTACGTATATTATCCTCCCTTTTTTGTATATACTATATACATATATGTTATATTATTATACTTATTGATTACTATTACTCGCTTATGTATATTTATGTGTGAATCACCTTATTTCTACTTTAAATTAAACGGGATAAAAGCTTTCTCCCTCCTTGTTCTTTCTCCACACCCTGTATCTCCTCCTGTCATTTCAATACTTGACTAGCGTGAAAGCATTATTTGCTACGCGCCCTGTCAAGTACTTACCTTTGCACCTTACCTCTCAGTACTTTATAGCCAGCACGAAAGTAACATTTGCTCGGCTGAGTACTTCCTTTCATATATTCTACTTAGCTAGCACGAAAGTAACACTTGCTCAGTTAAGTTCTTCACATATATCCAGTTTAGCCAGCACGAAAGTAACATTTGCTCGGCTAAGTATTTCTTTCCCTCTCCCCAGTGAGAAATGATTCGTCGATCGACGTCGAAACGACGCGCGAATCGACATCGACACCGTCGAATTGACGTCAATTCGACATCATTTCGACGTCGATCGACGAATCATTTCTCACTGGGTCTAAGCTTAACCAGCTCGAAAGTAACA